GTCTTGCCCTGGTGGATGGGTCTGCCCAGAATTTTTTCTATGAGAGACTGTGGGGTGCCCTGAGAGAGAAGTCACCTCTGGCAAGAACAGGGCAGGCATAAAAAGCTAATGTTGTCACCATCTGGAGTTTATTCTTATAAATTTCCACTGCTAAAATATATAGAAAAACAACATAGTCTATTATAATTAAGATAATAAGTGGCTGACTCCAATTGTTCATCATTTTATTTTATTAATCATTTACTTTATTAATGAAGTCTCATATTCATGTCTTGACCCAGAACTCTCCACCCAAATGGAATCATGTCTGAGTCTCTGGAGAGGAGAGGACCCACAAGTAAAATAAGAAAGGCCTGCTTTCTCTAAGACCGTGGTTAAGATATCAGTTACTGAGGCACATTTGTGTGGTACTCACTTCCATAAGTGTAACAGTGATCTCAGAAATTAGTGGGGCTTAGTCACCTTGGCGACTCCAACACATCAACTGCTGTCAGAAGAAGGAAAAAGATGAAGGAGAAGTGACAGCAGTGTCTAGAAGACATGCAGTAGCCAGAGGAGGGTGGCACCCAATTCTCAGCTGCTTGAACTTGTCTCTAGGCACAAGTTAGAGATCTCTCAGTCCTCCCTGAATATTTCTGGGTTGTGGGGCTCTGAATGGGCAGGGGAGTAGGGTAGGGTCCAAGCCAACACAGTTCACCCATTCAGTACCTCATCTGATTCATTCAGCAGTCCTAGGAGGCAATAGTATTCCCTTTCCACAGATGGCAAGGGTGACCCTTTAAAGTAATGCTATGGTAATAAACACTAGGGTTATGTTGCTAAAAAAGAAATTCTAAAAAATAACTTGAAATGCATTTTGTTGTTTTAATAAGTTTTTATTAAATGATACTTTTTTAAAAAGCTGATTGACACATTACTTTGATTGCTTTTGTTATATTCAGGGAAACAAGTAATACATACAATTTGGGGGAAATAGAGTTATTAAAGAGAAAAAATTTAATCCATTCCTAATTATCCCATATAAAGATAAACACTTGCATTTTAATATACATACTTTAAGATTCTGTTAATAATAAGTTAATATATGCAAACATATGTGATTTAAAATGAAACAATGATAAATTTACACACTGCTCTGTATTTGTTTTCAATTTAAAATACATAACGAATATCGTTCTATTCAAATGAGTGAAACACCTCTGACAAAGAAAGACTTGTTGCTTTGGTCAGAATGCAATATTCAAATAGAAGCTGGCAATACTAAAAGTTTTGAAGCAACTGAATCAGCAAAATTACGTTGAGAAAAGGCAAAGAAACAGAAAACAGCATTAAAAAATATTAACCTCAGAAAAAACCCTGTTTTCAAGGCATAAGGAAAAACTCATCCTGGTGGTGATAATGTGGACAGTCCTCATTAAGGCCATGTGGACTTAACTTCATCGCCCTGAGTTTAACTCTCTAATCGATTCCATGAATCATTCTATATCATCTGAATCTCCATCTATCATGTTAATGTTATTGACAAACCTGTTGAGCACACCTCCTCTAAAATTCTGGGAAAATGGAGCCCAACCCCCCCTAATATTGTCTTTGGGCTCCTGGCTTCATTCTCTGCCATATGGCGAGCTTCCTCTCCATTCTACACAGGGTCTTGATCCCCTCCTTCTTTTTCCTTTTTCTTTTTTCCTGGAGGACGTTTTCCACGTTGAGATTTTTTTTCCCCGGCTTATTCCACTTTGGACTCCATTACTCCTAGGAGACAAAAGGCAAGCGAAGGGCTGAATGCTTGGTGGAAAGATCAGCACCGAGGACAGAGGCCCTACTATGCACCTTTGAAGATTCAGATATCAACGGGTTTTTTCAATTCTATTTTTCTCACCAAAGAGGACTCGTGCACCCTCTAGGGGGCCTCCAGCCGGAGCTCCTCCCTCTCGCTCGCTCCTCTCTCCTCCCTCCTCTAAAGCTCCCCATTTTTCCTTTAGATCCTTCCCCAGGCCTACGCAGGCACCAAAAGAGAGAATACCCAGGGGAACCTTGTTTCCGCCCCCCACCACTGTCCCTCGCACTGACCTACGTCTATCCTTGCTCTCTCCTACTTCGCATTCCCGCAGCGAGATCCGTGGCCCTGAACCCACTGACCCTCAGACTTGCAGACGGCTAGGGTCGGGGAAGCCGGAACTGCTGCCGCCAAGAACTTAGTGCCGACCCGCCACCGCCCGGCCCCTTCCCAGACCCGTCCGGCGTCTCCTATCACCCAACTTTGTCCCTCCTTATCCTCTCTTTCTCCCAAGCCATCCTCAGCCTCTGGTACTCCTCGTCTTTTAAATACCCACAATGGTAGTAGAGGAGGAACTATTTAAATAGGACTTATAGCCTCCATCTCTGTTTTCTTCTCCTGTGATTCGTTTCCACACCCTTACTACCAAAATGTTTTGCACCGAGATGGGCATGGGACACGGGGAGCGCGGGTTGTATGAGTGGAAAGCTTTCCAGCATATACCCATGTACCAATATTCATATACCGCTTGCCCCCAGGCCACCCAAAACGGACTTTGGGTAAGGAAAGGGTGTGAAGAACACGGACCCTGGCCCACTTGATGGTTCTGCCCTCAGCCGCCAGCCATCCTGATGCCAGCGTTACCACAGGCTTCTCCAGTTGGAACACAGACCGACAGCTTTCCAGAACAGTTGTTTTTCCCTTAATCCTTGACCATAAGCTTTTCTTCCTCTGCGACAGGAATCATTACTCAGAGGATACAAAAGACGGGTGGAAAGGGACTTGAGCCCAGGTACACTCCCGTCCTGTAACTGCCACATCACAGAAGAGTTCAGGCTCCCAATCCTCCCTCCTACTCAAGCAGGGCAGCAGAAACCCTCAACCCCTCCTCCTCCTGTCACCCTGGATCTGGAATGTCTCTTTTTCCACCTTGGCATTTCAGGAGACCAGATGTAGTATTTGGCTTTCTCTAATTATCAAGGAGAGGCAGCATTTTCTCTTGCAGTTATTGTCCACTTACAATTCTTGTAGAATTAGCCCTTTCCCAGGTTCTAACCACCCTCAACCTGCTCCATCTCCCTACCTCCTCTCCCTGTAGTTATTATTTTTCCCCTGAGGCCCTGCCTAAATGGCCAGAAAGCTAAGTATCAGGAACGGAGGCTGGGAGTGGAAAGTGAAACGTTAGCTTTCTTTTATGTACTTTTCTGTTCCAACTTTTAAACTTAAAATGCTTTGATTTTACATTACAGAAATATAATACTTACACCTTGGGGGGAGGAAGAGAATAGAATTTATCCCAAGATTTCTCTTTTCATTGAGGTACCTTGTTATTTGGCTAACATATATCACATAGAAAACATTTTCCATCTGATACAAAGGAAAGAGTAAATTTTTTAAACATGCTAATTGTTCACAACCTTTAAGACATATTCTTTGGGGAGAAAAGTAATTTACAATAAAAAATAAGATTTTCTACTAAATAGGAAATCCTCCGTAGCTTGGTCATATTTATATTTATCAACTAGAGAATGTTTCTAATACTTCCCAAATAGCTTTAAAAAAACCAGCCTAATTAGTTTGAAAATTTGAAACCTAAAGTTTTCTAAAACAAATCAACATTTTGCATGGTCAATAGATTAATTCCTGTGGAATGTAGTAAGTGTCTTACTTTTGTCCTGTTTTGGAAAAAATGATCTATCTTTTCCACTTCTGGGAGTTTTTCATCTTCATAAATAACTGGTTCAGTTACATTCTGTTAGAAGGATGCAGCCTGCTAGGCCTCTGACCTCTGGCCTGCTTATCTCCAGAGAACCCAGGAGGAACATAACCTTGCTGCAGGAGGTAATGTCTTTGGGCATATTGCTTAAACTCTGTTTATTTTTTTTCATATATAAAATGGAAATGAAAATATCTTCCTTGCAGTTTTGGGGAATATAAAATGAAATAAACTAGTAAAGCACATTTCCCTTTTCAGGACATTCTAAGGATGTCTAGAACCATTTCCATCAAGCTGGAAAAAAGCAGCTGCCATTCAGGATGTTTCAATCTTCCTAAGGCCAATATATTCAAATGTTTTACTATACACACACTTCTTTCTAAAATTCTGAGAGCTTGCCTGTGATCTCTTGTTTTAGAGGTAAGGCCAGTACAGGGAGAGTAGCTTACTAAAGGTCACACAGTCAGGTCTAGGTCTGGCACTGGAACTACTGTCGCCTGTCTCTCACACCAGTGTTCTGTTCAGCCAACCCCAAACCATTCTGGCGCTCAAATACACATGCTTCCCAGAAGACAGAATAATGTAACAGAAGAGCAAGTGAAGCAAAACGACAGGGGGTGAGGGTTTTTTCTTTCCCCATAATCCACTGAGCTCTTTATTCTGCTTCACAAAAGGGCACCAAAACTCAAACAAAAGAAAAATACATGTTTATGTCTCCTCCTATTATTTTTCAAATGTTACCTCTGAAGAGCTATACCATTTTTATTGGCAAATTTGTGACTTTTACCAAAGACTGAGGTGAGGTTGAAGGGTAACCAATACCTGTTGAAGATTTTATATGAAACAAGTGTTATCATTTAAAATTCCCAAAAGTCAGTTCTATTGATACTGACCCTGATATCAGTTTCCCTACATTAAAGCCAGCATATATGGGGTTAAAACCAAAACACTCATTCCCTCCTTACTCCCTGGCTTCCTGGCTCCGGAATACACTGTCCTCCATGGAGACAGACACCGCCAAGGACAAGCACCTGGCTTCATCATCTCCTCCCCACAAAGAGATACAGGCTGGTGGGAAAGCTGCTGACCAGCAAGGTCACGGGCTCCCTCCTCTCTGCAAGTCATCTCAAGGCCAAAGACAGGCTGGTGGGAAAGCTCCGCCCAGCAAGGCCATATGCTCCCCCTCCCCTGCCTAAAACCCCAAATAAAAACCCTTCCTTTTAGCTTTTCAGGGATTTTGGGATTTCAGCGTTAGCTGCCCTCTCTCCTTGCTCAGCGCTATGCAATAATAAAATTCCTACTTTCTTCCACTACACCTGGTGTCAGAGATTGGCTTGCTGTACAACAGGTGAGTGAACTCACTTCAGGTTCGATATCACTATGAGGTGTGTATTATTATTCCCTTCTTTCAGATGAGGAGACTCGGGCTCACAATGTGTACCTGACAATTGATGATTCTGCAGGCAGCATAGCTTCCTGAAAATACCACCACCAGGACTCTGGAGTCAAACATTACTTTTTTTTCTTCATTTTGAATCTTTTTCCCCAAATCAAATCCTAATATAATTATAATAATAGATTGTACACAATAATGAACTTGTCACGCACTATTCTCAGGACTGTAGGTGTATTAACTCATATAAGTTACTTAAAAATATATAAAAGTATTAAGAATAAAGTTAAAACTACATTCAAAAATCTCACTCCTCTCCCAGGCTCTATTTTTTTCTTTACAACCCGCTGCCAAACCAACCGTGCTCCACAACAGCCAAGGACCAGGCTGCAGATGAAACCGAGGCTGGGGGAGGGGTGGAGGTTGTAGGAGTTCTTAATCCTGGGAAAGGAAGGCAGGAAGAGAATTCTTGAAAGTAGAAAGTTTAGTAGCTTCAGAAAAAGATGCAGCCCCTCCCTAGTAATCAGAGAAAGGCAAATCACATCTTTTCCCCTGGAATAGGCAACAACAAAAAAGACTGACAGGACCAAATGTGTAAGGGGGGAGGAGGCAGAGGGCGGGCCCATTTCTGCCGCGCTTTTGGTGGGAGTGGAAATTGGGGACCCGAGCTCACTGGTGACGTAGATCTCACGTGACCAGGAGTCGACGTGTGCAGAAGTCCTGCTAGTCTGGTCCTTGTTCCCGTCTGGGTACCAGCTTCCTTCAGCAGCGCGTACGGTGGGGCCTGAGGCCAGGGGAAAGAGAAGGAGTCAAGTTGCTGAAATTTTGCAGGTTGGTGTCAAAATAGGTGCTGCCCAGGGATTTCTAGAGTGGGGGGTGATATAGGGCAGAGACTTGAGGGAGTCCTGGTCAAGTCCATCTCTCTACCTCCCACCTCCAGGTCTGCAGGAAATAATGACCCTTGGGAAAGGAACTAGGGGTCCCGGGAGAAGGACAAAGAGACCTGTGATAGTTTAAAAATCATCATCCTCTGCTGCCTCAGACAGCTTTCCCAACGCCTACCCTCCCCCCCAACCCCCGCCTCAGTCTTAGAGATAGTTTGGAAATAATCTGCTTTTCCTACTCCCTGTGTGATGGGAAATTCGAGCTGTCTTGCATTGTGGAGAGGGGGAGAACTGGGGTAAACAAAAGGTGAGAAAGTTTCCACAACCGAGAATCTTAATGAGGAAAAAGGTACGTGGCTACCTACCAAGCGCTCGCCCCACCCCCAACCTCTCCCCCACCCCTTCCCCCTCCCGTTTCCCGTTTGTCCGCAGGTCTGTCGTTCATAGCACTGCACAAAGCTGAAAAAGGTGAGGAAGAAACTGACCACATCAGTACAGGTAGGTGAGGGGAATATTATAAACACCGTTGGGGTTGAAGTGGACGAGGGCGGGACAGAAGTTGTGGGCCCCACCTTTCCTCTCTCTCACCTTATCCCAGCCTACTCTGCTCTAAGAGGGTCTTGTGTTACGCCCTGTGCGGGAGAAATGGTTGAGTAGGGCCTTGAAAAAGGCTGGAGGAAGGGACAAGAGAGAGGTGAGGAGGTGGAAAGTGGGGGTAAGAGCCGCAAGCTCAGGGAAGCCCTGATTGCTGATTGAGTCTCCCAGATGGAAGATATTTGATAATAGCTCTGAATCAAAAAAAGCAAATGCTGAGACCTCACTTACTGTCTCCTTTTTGCTTCCTAGAAGTAATTGCCTTTAAAGGGGAATAAGCAGAAAGGAAGGAAGAGAGACAGACACAAGATGAAACCCTGTCAAAAAATTGAAGGAAGACCAGAAAATGAGAGTGAACCAAAGACTGAGGAAGAGCCAAAGCCTGAGGAAAAGCCAGAGGAGGAGGAAGAGCCAGAGGAGGAGGAGAAAACAGAAGGAACTTTTAGAGAAAGGCTGATTCAATCTCTCCAGGAATTTAAAGAAGATATACACAACAGGCATTTAAGCAAGGAAGATATGTTTAGAGAAGTAAATGAAATAGACGAGATAAGGAGAGTAAGAAACAAACTTATAGTGATGCGTTGGAAGGTTAATCGAAACCATCCTTACCCCTATTTAATGTAGTTTACCTTGATCTTTACTTTTTCTGATATAACATTGCCATATAGCTTTCTTTTGATTTGCATTTTCCTGATACACCTTTGTCCATCTTTATACCTTTAACTTGTTGCTGTTAGTGGTTTTAGATGCATCTCTTGTTATCTGCTTCTCTATCACATTTTGAACCAATCTACAAATCTCTGCCTTTTAATAGGAGAGCTTTACTCATTTTTACAAAAAGAGGTTCTTGATAGGATATAAAATGAAAAAAGGTTACCAAGTAATTTGTGAATATCGTATTTTTGAAAGGGAATATTACATTTGTATATTACATATATGCACAGAAAACACATGAAGGATGAAAGACAAAAAATACAGTCAGGAGTAGGATTTTGAGTGATTTTTTTATTCTGCTTATTTGTATTTTTCCTTATTCCTATAATGTACACACATTATTGTTAAAATAATAAAAGTTTTATAACAAAAAAGAAGTAACCAACAGCACTTATCAGTTTATTTCTAAAGGCACTGGGGCACTTAATATTTGTTGACAGAATTTTAGAAGCAAATATGAACTCCAAATTACTGCCACTTAGATAGAAGAATAGATTTGACATCTTTTCTCATCTGTAAAATAGAGATAATAACAATACAATCTTAAGGAATCTTGTAAGGACCAAATAAGGTAATGACTGAGCTATATTTGACAGTTTTTTTCCCCATCTGCCCATGCAGGATCCTAACTCCTGAGGGATTTGTTTCAGCTATTTGGGAGGGTAGAGAAAGTAGTTCTTACCTGTGCTTAAGAACAAATCCAGGCAACTGGTAGGTGCCACATTTATGTTCCTCTCCTGCTGTGCCTGCCCAACATCCCATCTCCCTCCCCTTGGTACTACCAAGTATGCTGGGTATTCCTGCCCCTTCATCCAGGCCCTGTACCTTTCAGGCCCCTACCACTGATGATGTGCTAGAATTCTCAATTAGTGAAGCCCAACATATTTCTTTGGAACCCCTGGTGGCCTGAATCCCGAGACTGACCTCTACAGAAGTGGGGAGAATCTCCATCTCTTGGATTTGGATGGACATTTATGCAGGGCTACTCGGGCCATGATATCTTATAGATAACTTGGCAACTTTGGGATTTTAATCACGTGCCCCCTCTTCCCCATAAGACTCAGACACAATGGGTCTGTTTAGGGGTTGGACCAGAAGACAAGTCAAAGTGACAGATGTTATGCTTTAGTCAGAGTTTCTTCTCTGAGTCTAAAGATTATGGTTTTGTCTTTCTGACTCTTATTTCCTTAGGGTGAGTGATCTCTCCCAGAAGACCCATGGCAAGCCCTCCTCACCAGTTCAACAGATACACCTAGACCTGTGTAAATTTTAAAGAGAGGTTCAAGTCAGATTTGGGGATACTCTCATCCTTACCTGGAAACATGAAAGTGCTCTGTAAGACTTACTGTGTATCTATATCCACATCCAAATCTAAATATGTATCTGTATATGTGTATATGGCTCACAGTTGTGCCAGTTGTGTGTTATTTTATTTTTCTTCTATGATGCTCTTTTTGGAGCAATTCATGTCTTCAGGCTATTCTTCAAGGGTGCAACAGCCTGATAGATGCTGGTTGGGCTAGATTCCAGCTAGAGTGAGATGAGGGTCTGGCCAGGGGCTCACTGTGGCAGTTTTACAAGACAGGATGAATCCAGACCCCTGGCGCTCTGAGGGGTGGCACTGGGGCAAGATGTGGAAGGGCTCATCTAAGCCACACTCCTCTCCAGGATGAGTCTGCCTTTGGTTTCTCTTCTCCAGCCTGCAGCAGGCACCACACCCTCCTAGGCTGATGGCTGGGCTGTCCTGGACATACTTACTTAGAAGATATTGACTGTCCTTATTGCAGATCAGAGCACTAGACTTCCTTTCCCCCTTTTTTCCTTCACAAGGGGGCTTGATGGGAACTTTTTATAGGGAAGAAGATAAGACCTCAAAATTCACTAACTAGAAACACTGGTTGTGATAGTCTTTGTCCCAGCTATGACTACTCTGGATATAATCAGATAACTTGGGGTTAAAGTAGAAGGTCCTGGTGGTAGGTGGAGATGATTTTAGATAATACACAAATATTTTAAGTTGTAATATCCATGTATTTATTTGAATGTGTATTAATAAATACTCTCCATTTAAGGGAAATGATGATAGTTTAGATTTAGGGTAATGTTATAATGTTTCCTTTTCAAAAAAGTATTCAAATTAAATAAGAGAGTCAGTTTGAAGACAAACATGAAGTAGAACACAATAGCATAGGTGGTACACAGATAGGGCAAAAATCATCCTAATGGGAAACTTTACCCTAGCACAATCGATTTAGGGATGATATCTGGAAACACCTGTCAAGAACCATGCAGTCTGAGATTTTACCCTACTTAGAAGTTAACAAGTTAATCTGTTTAATGGCAGAAGACACTAGAATCCTGGGTCAGAGACAAAGGACATTATTACTCAAGGCAAAAGCAGTAGCCAGAGGGGCTGGCCCCGTGGCCGAGTGGTTAAGTTCGCTCACTCTGCTGCAGGCGGCCCAGTGTTTCGTCGGTTCGAATCCTGGGCGCGGACATGGCACTGCTCATCAAACCACGCTGAGGCAGCGTCCCACATGCCACAACTAGAAGGACCCACAACGAAGAATATACAACTATGTACCGGGGGGCTTTGGGGAGAAAAAGGAAAACAATAAAATCTTAAAAAAAAAAAAAAAAAGCAGTAGCCAGAGCTTCATACTAGTTTGTATCAGTTTCCCATGATCCTTAGGTCCCGTGAGGTAACACAGGGCCCATTATGGATGCCTGCACATAGTGCATTGTGTTACAGGAAAGAAACCCTAAGTTTGGAGAATTCACTGCTTTCACAGTAAGTAGAAGCAAATCTGATCTGTGTCCAGGGAAAAACACTAGTTACCTCCTCTCTCCAAGTTACTTGCTGCAAACACAACTGTGAGAAATGGCCTGCCTGTGTAGAGTGTCCGGGCCTTACATTCTTGTTCTACTCAGTAAGAACGTGCAGGGATGCTCAGGACCCAAGGTGAGTGGCCTCTCCCAGTAACATTTTTCTCTGTGCAATAAATCTTAATGTGAATGGAAAGCGTTTCCTAACATCACAAATTTTGATTTATAATTCCAAGTTAATGATAGCAAATAATGCATTATACTATAGAATGTAAACAGGGCATTTGTAAATCTTTCTAGGTTTTACTTAAACACATAGGATTTTGAACGAATACTAATTAACTGAATGTAAAGATCAACTCAGAAACTAAAAGTAAAGTCTATGAGGAACTTTAAAATTACAGTAAGACATAGCTATCGTGACACACAAAATAAAAGAAGCAGAGGACCAAGACCAGTGGGTTTATCAGGGTGCTAATGACAGGAGTTATCTTATGCAAAAATTTTCACTGAGAAACTGACAGCAGAGTGTATGTGTTTGAAAGTCAGCCCCAGATCCTGTACACAGGTAATCACCACTGCTTCTATAGAAGGAAAAGGCAAAAGTTAAGAGAAAAGCTGTTTTGTTCTCTCTACAAGGAAAGTTCAAGGTAGGGTAAGGGTTGAGAGAGAGGGGCCTCTCATACATAACAGTATCCAAAAGCAGTTATTTGATATTCTGACACCAGGATTTTGCAAGAGCCTTAGAAAAAAGAGCTGCATCATTTGATGGATAATTTAGTTGGGTATGGAGCATCCTTTCATGTATTTATTGGTCACCTGTACATTTTATTTTGAGAAATATCTGTTCAAATATTTTGCCTGCACCCCCTTTAATATTTTCAGTAGAGTTTGGGTAAATAATCTATTTAAAAGAATGAGTTAAATCCATATATACTGCATGATCACTGTGCATTATTAAAAGAAAAATTAAGGACAGGAGGTATAGTATAATATATATGCGTACATGTAGATATGTACACATACCCACAAATATCAAGATGAATCCCTTTAGCTCCTAAAGGGAGAGATCACGTCTTTTGAAGTGGCACTTTGATATCTCACCAGGCCTCTTGCTCACCAGTACATGAAAAGATGCTCCATACCCAACTAAATTATCCATCAAGTGATGCAGCTGTTTTTGCTAAGGCTCTTGCAAAACCCTGGTGTCAGAATATCAAATAACTGCTTTTGGGTACTGTTATGTATGAGAAGCCCCCCTCTCCAAACCCTGGTTGTTTAAGAAATAATTATTTTTTTAAAATTTCTCCTAATGGATAATTCCATTATCCTTGCATTGTAACTGTCAAAATAGTTTCTTGGACTTACACAGTCCTTCTTCCCTTCCATGAACTCTGAGTCCTTTTCCAGATGTTACATCATTAATGTGCTATTTAAGAGAAAAGGAACATGAAGCTTAGATTAAGTGTTCTGGCCAAGGTCCCCCAGCTGTTAAATGAAATGCCTGTCTAAAGTCAAAGCCCTTGTCCCTAATCTATGCCTTGCAGCAGTTAGTATTTAATAAATAGCAACAACAACAGCAGTGCTGCTGTGCTGAATCAATTCCCATCATTTCCTCGAAGCTCCATGCCCTTTAAAGTCCTGGTCTTGGTTCTCCTGGTTCTCCCTGCCTGAAACATTCTCTTGACCATTCCTCACACATTTATTCATTCATCCCAGAATAGATGTTACTTCTTTTTTTTAAACAGCTTTATTGAGATTTAATTCACGTATCATACAATTCACCCACTTAAAGTGTACAATTCAACGGGTTTTAGTATATTCATAGTTATGTGCAACTATCACCACAGTCAATTTTAGAATATTTCAAGTCAAAAAGAAACACCATACCCTTAGCTGTGACCCCTCCCTCATGGCTCTATCGCTCCAGCGATAAGCAAACACTAAACCACTTTCAGTCTCTCTAGATTCCCTATCCTGGAAATTTCATAAGATAGTGCTCATATAAAATGTGGTCTTTTGCAACTGGCTTCTTTCACTTAGCGTACGTTTTCAAGGTTCATCTATTGTGTTGCATATATTTCTTCATTTCTTTGTACTGCTGAACAATATTCTACTGTATGGATATGCCACATTTTGTTTATCTGTTAATCCATTGATGGATATTTGGGCTGTTTCCATCTTTTGCTTATTTTGAATAGTGCCGTTATGAACATTTGTGTACAGGTTTTGTGGAGACACATTGTTCTTAATTCCCATGGGTAGATATCTAAGAATTGAATCGCTGGGTCACACAGTAACTCTATGCTTAATTGTTTCAGGAACTGCCATACTGTTTTTCAACTGGCTGACCATTTTACCTTTCCATGAGCAGTGTGTAAAGGTTCCAATTTCCCATCTCTTTGACAATACATTTTATTATCTGACTTTTTAAGCCATTTTAGTAGGAGTGAAGTGGTATCTCATTGTGGTTTTGATTTGCATTTCTCTGATGACTAGTGGTGTTGAGCATCTTTTCGTGTATTGGCCATTGTATATCTTACTTGGAGAAATAT